CTGGCCTTGACCCATAACCATACTGATGAATATTTTGCATGTCACCATAGAACCTTCATCTGGCGATGGATGGAGATAGAGACGGAGACCCACATTGGAGCACTGGACTGAGCCCCCAAGCTCCAAATGAGGAGCAGAAGGAGGGAGTACATGAAAAAGGAATCAGGACCGCCAAGGGTGCGTTCAACCACTGATACAAGGGGACTGATCGAATGAGAGCTCACCAAGGCCAGCTGGACTGGGACTGAACAAGCATGTGATCAAACCTGATTCTCTGAATGTGGCTGACATGGGGACTGACTGAGAAGTCATTGACAGTGGCACTGGGTCTTGTTTTGTCTGCATGTACTGGCTTTTTGGGATCCTGGTCTGTTTGGATGCTCACCTTCCTGGACCTGGAGGGTGGGGGAGGAACTTGGACTTCCCACAGGGCAGGAAACCCTGACTGTTCTTGGGACTGGAGAGGGAGGAGGAGAGGGAGTAGGGGAGTGGGAGGGTATTGGGAGGAGGGGAGGAAGTGAAAATTCTTATAAATAAACAAATAAGTAAATTTTAAAAAACTCCAATTAACCCAATTAAAAAAATGGGGTACTGAACTGAACAGTGAATTCTCAACAAAAGAAGATCAAATGGCCAAAAGACACTTAAGGTCATGTACAACCTCCTTAGCGATCAGGGAAATGTAAATCAAAACAACTTAGAGAAACCATCTTACACCTGTCAAAATGGCTAAAATCAAAAACACCAATGATTGCCTATACTGGAGAGGATATGCAGTAAGGGGAACACTCATCCATTGTTGATGGGAATGCAAACTTGTGCAACCACTTTAGAAATCAGTGTGGCAGTTTCTCAGGAAATTGGGAGTCAACCTACCTCAGAATCCAACAGTTTCACTCATGGAAATATACCCAAGAGATGCCCAATCATACTACTAAAGCATTTGTTCAACTATGTTCATAGCACCACTATTTGTAATAGGCAGAACCTGGAAACAACCTAGGTACCCCTCAATAGAAGAATGGTTAAAAAAGGTGTGGAACATATACACATTAGAGTTTTACTCAGTGATAAAAAACAATGACATCTTGAATTTTGCATGCAAATGGATGGAAATAGAAAACAGTTTACTGAGTATGATAACCCAGACCCAAAAAGATGAATATGGTATGTACTCACTCATAAGTAGATTCTAGCCATAAACAAAGGACATTGAGCCTATAATTCATGATCATAGAGAAGCTAAATAAGAAGGTGAACCCAAAGAAAAATATATATTTATCCTCCTGGATATTGGAAATAGACAAGATCGCTAGACAAAAGTGGGGAGCATGGGGGTGGGGGTGGGGGGAAGAGGAGAGGGGGAGAGAGAAAGGAGAAGGGAAGGATTGGGGAGAGCTTGGAAGAATGAGATGGTTGAGATGGAGGAACAGTGGATATGAGAGCAGGGAAGAAGATATCTTAATTAAGGGAGCCATTTTAGGGTTGGCAAGGGACTTGGCTCTAGAGGGGTTTTCAGGTATATAAGGGGATGTCCCCAGGTAGGTCTTTGGGCAACAGAGGAGAGGGTGCCTGAATTGGCCTTATCCCATAGCCACACTGATGAATATCTTGTATATCACCATAGAACCTTCATCTGGTGATGGATGGAGATAGAGACAGAGACCCACAGTGGAGCACTGGATTGAGCTCCTGAGGTCCAGATGAAGAGCAGAAGGACGGAGAACATGAACAAGGAAGTCAGGACTGTGAGGGGTGGGTCCACCCACTGAGACTGTGTGACTAATCTAATGGGAGCTCACCAAGGCTAGTTGGACTGGTACTGATGGAGCATGTGATCAGACCGAACTCTCTGAATGTGGCTGACAATGAGGGCTGACTGAGAAGCCAATGATAATGGCACTGGGTTTTGATTCTATTGCATGTACTGGCTTTTGAGGAACCTAGTCTGTTTGGATGCACACTTTCCTAGACTTGGATGGAGTGGGGGAGGGTCTTGGACTTTCCACAAGGCAGGGCACCCTGGCTTCTCTTATAACTGGAGAGGGAGGGAGAGGAGGAGGGGGGAATGTGGGAGGGAAATGAGAGGAGGTGGAAATTTTTAATAAATAAATAAATTTAAAAAAATAGAAAGAAGACACATAATAAATAACACTGATATTTTTCATTCTACTGAATATTGCAAAATTCAGAATGGTGAGAAATTGTACAATTTACTTAGAACTTAAGATTACTGGGATATCTGGGAAAATGGGAGTTCTACGGCAAAACCAAAATATTAACTTTAATACTACTACTAACAATAATAACATAATATAAACATGTCATTCAGGGGCTGAGAGATGACTCAGTGGTTTAGGTTACTTGTCTTTCAGAGGACCTGAATTTTGTTTCTAATAATACTGAATTCAGGAAGCTCACAACTTCTAATTCCAGCTCCAGGAAATCTGAAACCATCTTCCCGCCTTTGGCTCATGCAGTCATGTGCACAAGCCAATACACAGACTCACATAGACACAGATAAATACTTTTTTAAAGTATCAATCAGTATTAAAAGAATAGTTATTTAATATGGCAGATCTCTTATATTTCAACGACTATATTTATTGTATAACATAGAAATGTTTTTACAGAGATTGAATGTATGATACAAGTGTTTATATCATCATGTATCAGATTCACTGCCATTCTGAGGCCAAAGCAATCAGCTTTTTCAAATTTGTTTTTCTCATGATATGCATTTAATAATAAGCTTCTCCTAATAGCTATGATGGGTGTTATGGATACAGAACTGAAAAAGAGAAAAAAATTTCCATGAAGAGACGAAAATTCCTTACTGAGTTACAAAGCACAGAAGTCTGCAAGATGCAGAGTCAAGAAAAGATGCAAGAATGCAAGAAGGGCTAGCACAATCATAGCTGTCATCATCTATGCAAATGACCTTCATTGTCAGATGTGAGTCCACCCTCAGTGGAAGGAGCACAGAGGAGAAGCACAGCACAGACTATGTTTTAGTAATATCACAAGAAAAATAACTTTATATGCCATGGCGTTAATGCAAATTATTCATCAGTGAAAGGAGATTCAGAGATGGTAAAGTCAGATTATGAGGAAAAATGGGGATATGTTAAAGGACATGTGCAACATGAAAGAGAAAGAGATTGAGGGATGTTACACAGTCTATTAGAGGTAACAGTGTGTGGGAGAGATGGGGAAAGAAAATCTAACAAAGCATACTTTGTTTTGAAAATACCATAATATATCTTTCATGCTAATTAGAGACAGAGACCCACATTGGAGCACTGGACTGAGCTCCCAAGGTCCAGTTGAAGAGCAGAAGTAGGGAGAAGATGAATAAGGAAGTCAGAACCAAGAGGAATTGGCCCACCCACAGAGACAGTGTTCCTGAGCTAATGGGAGCTCACCAAAGCCAGCTGGACTGGGACTGAACGAGTATGGGATCAAACTGGACCCTCTGAATGTGGCTGACAATTGGGGCAGACCGAGGGGCCAATGATAATGGCACTGGGATTTGTCTCTACTGCATGTACTGGCTTTTTTGGGATCCTATTCTATTTGGATGCATACCTTCCTGAGCCTGGATGTAGGGGGACGGGCCTTACCTTCCTAAGCCTGGATGTAGGGGCAAGGGCCTTGCACTTCCCACAGGGCAGGGTACTTTACCTTGTCTTAGGACTGGAGGGTATTGGGAGGAGGATGTGGAGGGGAGGGAGCGAGAGGGAAGTGGGAGGAGGGGAAGAAGTGGAAACTTTGACCTGTATTATTTATAAAGTAATAAAAAAATTAAAAACATTTTTTTCAAACATATTTATGTCTTTTGACATAAATGTGGACTTTTTAAAATATGTGTTGTGACTGAAAACAATGTTGAGAAAGTGTGAAAGTTGTAGAACAGAAAACTAGATGCTGGGAGAAACAGCATGCATACAGGTGAATTACCTACTTCACAGAAAAATTGAAATCAAATAAATTAAAACTACAGTAAATACATACAAGCAACAATCCCTGCTTCTGTCATCTTACCCCAAAATGAAATTTCTCTTCTATTAATTCTTCGGGAGTTTTACATGTTTTGGTCATATGAGACCCCTTCTTCAGTTCTTTACAGAATCTACTTCCCCATTCCATATCCATCCAGATTTGTGTCCTTTCATTTTTAAACCCTTTGAGACTAATTTGGGCTGCCTAAATACTCTTTCATGTGTGGCCTTCCACTGGAGAGTGATCAACTTACCAGGTATACACTTGTAGCAAAAAATGTCTCTCCTTAGTTTACCAAGGCCAGTTGGACTGGGACTGAACGAGGACGTGATCTAACCAGATTCTCGGAATTTGGCCGGATTCTCTGAATGTGGCTGGCCCGAAGTCTTTCTGAAAAGCCATTGACTATGACACTGGAACTTGTTTCCTCTGCATATACTGGATTTTGGGGATCCAGTCTGTTTGGATACTCACCTTCCTGGACCTGGAGGGGTGGGGGAGGAACTTGAACTTCCCACAGGGCAGGAAACCCTGACTGCCCTAAGGGACGAAGAGGGAGGAGGAGAGGGAGTGGGGGGAGTGGGAGGGTGTTGGGAAGAGGGGCGGAAATGGAAACTTTTATAATTTAATAAAATTACTTTTAAAAAAATGTCTCTCCTTCTCCAAGCAACTAAAAATAACTACACCACTTGGGGTGGAATTGTGTACCACCTCCCCTCTCTTAGCTTAGGTTTGGTCTGTCTTGGATTTGTACAGGTTTTATGTGTAATTTTGTAACTTCTGTGAGTTCATACATGTAGATGTCTTGCTGGGTCCAGAAGACAATGTTCCCTTGTAGTCATCCACTGCCTCACTTTTATCCTTTCTTCCACAATGATTCCTTAGCTTTGGGAGTGTGGTTGGTATACATGTTCAAGAGAAAGAGAATAAGAGATTTCGGAATGTTCAGCTCTTAAACTGGAATTTCTTGTTTCAAAACATAAGACCCAAGACAGTAATCACTTTTCTAGTTTTTCTCTCACAAAGTTCTTCTTCAGAGCTCTCTTGATGTCATTGTTCCTCAGACTATAGATGAAGGGGTTCAGCATGGGGGTGACTACAGTATACATCAATGAGGCTATTGCAGTGGAATGTGGGCTTTGGGTCACTGCAGAACTGAGGTACACTCCTAGAAGGGTACAATAGAATAAGGAGACAACAAAAAGGTGAGATGCACAGGTGGAAAATGCTTTGAACTTCCCCTGAGCTGAGGAGATTGCACGTATGGAAGACACTATCTTGCCATAAGAGTAAAGGATGCCAGCGAGACAACCACCACCCAGGAGTGCAGCTAAAGCATTCATTACCATATCATTTAAAAAGGTGTCAGAACAGGCAAGGTGAACCAGCATACTAAGTTCACAGAAAAAATGTGGAATTTGCACATCAGTACAGAATGAAAGCTGCAGCACCAGGGAGCTTTGTAATGAAGAATTCAGGGAACTTGTGATCCAAGACACCAGAACTAGTGACACACAGAGCTGAGGTGTCATAATGCTTGTGTAGCGCAGGGGGTGACAGATAGCCACAAAGCGGTCATAAGCCATTACAGCCAGGAGGAAGTTATCTAGCCCTACGAATAATGAAAAGAAGTAAATTTGCATGATGCATCCTTCATATGTTATGGCCTTGTGGTGTGTATAAACATTCACCAGCATCTTTGGGATGGTAGTGGAAGTTAGGCAGATGTCCACAAAGGACAGGTTGGAGAGGAAGAAGTACATGGCTGTATGCAGGTGGAAGTCTGAGATCGTGGCCAGGATGATGAGAAGATTCCCCAAAATGGTCACAAGGTACATGGAGAAGAAGATCCTAAATAAAAGGGGCCGCAGTTCTGGGTCTTCTGAAAGGCCCAGGAGGAGAAACTGTGAATTTTGAGTATCGTTTTGCTGTTTCATGTGCGGTGACTGCTGGAAAAGACAGAAATAATATGACTGTTTCTTGGCATGCACAACAATACCAAAATATAAAAACCACAATAGAATAAATGCATGTGAAGAATAAAATCCCCACAGGTAAAACATAAGAAAGAAAACAGTCACAATGGCTGTAGAATTCACAGGGATTACATAATGAGATCTCATCATTGCTAGAAACATGAAGCTAATATAGTCAAAGTAATGCACCTAATGTATTATTGGATTCACTTGTCTATAGTCATGACTACAGGTTATTTGTGTAGCTTATCAGGATATGTGTGTGTGTGTGTGTGTGTGTGTGTGTGTGTGTGTGTGTGTGTGTGATTGGTTTCTTAATGACATCTTCATTCAAGTATTTAATTCACTCTGATTATATCCGAGTGTACTATCCTATGTTCCCCCTCCCACAACCAACTAGTCATCTTTCTTTTTCAAAATAGTTGTTAAGAATACTTGGCTGCAGCTGCACTGATGGCTCAGCAGGAAGTGCACATGCTTTAGTAGTAGACCCAGGTTTGGTTTCCCTCACCCACATTGTGGCTTACATCCGGAACACCAATTCCAGGGATAGTAACCCCCTTCTCTGACCTCTGTGGAACACATATGGGGCACATACATACAAGCAGGTAAAACACTCACACATAAAATAAATAAATCTGAACATTAAAAAAAGAACATTGACTGTGTTTTACTTTCTTGTTCAGACCTTGCACACCCAAATCATGGCCCCTTTAATGCAGCTGCTTGGGGGTTAAATAACACGGTGGAGCCATGATACACTTGGATCTCGGGATGCCTATGTAATCAAAATGTTGCACAATTCCACCAATGTACATGAGATAGTTATGTCAGTCAATCTCATAAAGTTATGAATAGAAAGGTGGCGTAAGTGGAGAGGAGGAAATGAGGGGCTTATTTGTATGGATGTCACCTTTCAGTTATATAAGCAGAATAACTTACATATATCTGTGAATGCACAGGATGCCTGTGCAAAGCATATTTAAAGCAATATGCACTTTAAATTCTGCTATGTGGATTAGCCTTGGCCAGGATTTCTGTTATATAAAATAACAACAATGGTCAGCAAAATGGCTAGGCAGGTAAAGGTGCCACCATGCCTGATGAACTGAGTTCCCTCCTGAGATCAACATAATGGAAGAAAAGAACTGACTCCTACCAGTTGTTCCTTGACATCCACACATGAACCATGGCATGTGTGTGTGCGCGCACACACACACACACACACACACACACACACACACACACACACACGAAAAAGGAAGGACACTGTAAAATAAATAAGTAAGTAATACCAGGGAACTAGGAGGTGATGTTGTGTCTGTAGCATGGCTCACAATGATGGGACTACAACGGTCTGCAATATGTCTCACCTTATTCCACTGCACACATTACACATAGACAGGATTTAATGTTCCAATAGAGCTGTTTACCTCAGAAGCAAAAGAGGCAGTTCAGAGTTGAAGGATCCTTTTTACCTGGAAAATCTTAATATTTCAGCATCACACAAATTGTTTCACCTTTCCTGTACATGTAAAAAAAAACCCATTCTGATGAAAATATGTAAATGAATTTTAGATGAGTGCAAAAGACCGTGTTGTGAAAATGTCTTCTTGGGAACTCCTCTTGAGCTCAGGAGGTTTTTTTTTCTCTCTTTTCTGTAATATAGCTATATTTGGTCTGCTCAAAAGAAAAGACTATGTTGTATAAAGTGGCAAGAGATGATTGCTATAGAGAGACTGAATCATCCACAAAAGGCAAAACTAGTTTTAAAGAAAAGCAGGCATGAAAAAAATCTACTGAAGGCGTAAAAAGCTGTTACTACTGATAACACAGCAGATCTCCCCAGGATAAGAAGTATCAGGGTGATGGGTGTTGCAATGAATTACTGACAGAGTACATTACTCAAGATTTAGAACATTTCATATATCTGCCTTATACCCATACATATATATACATACAAAAAACTAGGTGGGACTCTTCAAACACTGAGCGAGAAAAACAAACAACAAAACAAAACCCTCTACCTCTCAATTTGTTGAAAGAATGAAAAGACACAAATATTTAGTTAGTGTCTATACAGAGAATTTGTGAAAAACAAAAAAACAAAAAACCATAATTTTTAAAATGTTGGTAAGGATGCTAACAATCCCCTATATAGTACCAGTGGAAGGGAAGAATGAAAGCATAAAGCCCTTGTACTGTTCCTCTATTGTCCCTCTTACCTATCACACAGCATGTGTCACTGAGTTTTCAGTGTGACAGAAGACACTGGGCAACATGTGTCTCAGAGACATCTGTGTTTAATCAATCAATCAACAGTCTGATGTTTGTAACAAATATGGCAATGGGATAAACCAAGATGCATGTTTCAAAAACGCTTTAAGAACCCTCTTAACTTCACTGCATACACATCCACACCTAGGGTCACAGGTCCTCCTCCACAACTGCAAAAGCCTTTTATGTGTTCTATCACAATTCTATGTGAAATACTTTGTGCTACATCTCTATTCAGTCTGATGCAATCATTTCCCCCATTACCACCCCATTTTCAAAAATTACACATGCATTAGAATCTAAAGGATGCCTCTGGTGCTTAATACATGAAATAAGTTTCCTGTTGAAGTAAGTGAAACAAAGCAAGATAAAACAAATTTCCAGCCCCTCAACCCAACACTAGGGTGGCTGGCCTCTTGGGGGCATCAGGTACATTTTATGATCTTCCATTCTTCATACACCACTGCTGATGCACTTACTCAGACTCGACAGGATGGGTTCTCTGTGAAGCTCCCTACAAAGAGGTCTTGATTCTTCCCTGGGTGGCTTTTTGTAACTCCGCTCCAGAAAAAAACCTTGAGAGTGAAGGAAGCAGTGGTCCCTAATCCATAGATGGACTGCAAATAGGAATAGTTAAACCTGTCCATCTGAGAATTGTCTCCTACAAGGGGTGATGCCTTTGTTGCTCCCTGTATGCTCATTAGGCACAATTCCAAGCTCTATGGAGCTAACTGATTTCCCTGGGGAACAATGGTCTGAGCAGAAAAGAAATTTTCCTACTTGTGTTTTATTACCGTGAGACCTGGTGAGAAACAGGCAAATCCAGTGCTTATCACTTACTCCTTCACAAATCTGCCTTTCAGAAAGCAAACTTCCTTAGCATGTTTGCCTAAACTTCACTTTCAATTGTCTTTCAGGTCTAACTTGTATTCTCAAGACTTGAAGTGTGGATGGCACCCATCTTCGTAGACTTGGAGGGACCTATCTGTCTTCATCAAGGGAGAAAAACATCACTAATAAGCTATGAGAAGCTACTGTAATGCTCAAATTCATGAAGGCTTTTACAAGATATTTAGGAGATTTACAGTAGCAATATAAATTCGGGATTGTTATTTTTTCCTCGATTTATGAAAATTTTGGTAAGTATAAGAGCCTTGTTTAGAGAATTTATTCTCCATGGGCTAGTTAGAAGGTCCTATCATTTAATTTAGATACATATCAATAATAAAGATACGGAATATAATGGATGTGTGTTTAATAATAGTGTGAGCTAATTTCCCATCTGCAGAAATAAGGTTCAGGGACTAGAGCCATACCATTCCGAATATGCACAATCTGGTTTATTCATGGAACCTAAGCAGAATCGCATCTATCCAGTACTGGGATTGGAGACTGCCTTGAATACTAGATGCTGTAGGCTTATTTTTAAAATAAATAGTTTTCATAGACTTTAAAAATGAAAATGGTACTCTGAGTGGGCAAGTGATGAACTGGGCAATGTTTACTGAAAATGCTCTCATTCTCATACTTTAGGTTAGAATTTGTCCTAGAGTGACTCAGTATTTCATGAGACATTTGGTCACATCGAGTACATGCAGGTTTTTATAAGTGTGTGTGTGGGGGGTTGTGCTGGACCTAATGGGTAGTTGTTAGGATGTTTCTCAGACTCGTGCATAGATAGCACAGCTGCCAGAGCGAGGAGGTTTTGAAGAATTGTTCTAGCCCAGAACATCTCCAAGTTGAATATTAAGTACATAGCCAACACACCCAGCTATAAAACATTCTTATTAATTCTTTATTTCATGCATACTTGCAATGTATTTTAATTTTCCCTTTCCTACATTTAACTGCTTTGAGTTCCACATCTACCCTTCGGGTCCCCTAAACTTCATTTCCTCTTTATCTTTTTATAACTCACTGAATATGAGCTGTTACCCTATACTCATGGGCTATCCACTGGAGCATGGTAAACCTATCAGCTGTGATGTCCACCGACTCTTTCCCCCAAGAGACTTTGACAGCTCCTCGGTGAGGGGTATGAGTTCCCTTCATGCTGTAATTCTGTTTGGCTGAACCTAGTGCAGGTCTTTTGCAGGTAACCACAGATTATTCATTCCTGAATGCAGTGGACTTTTCAGAGCCCACAGGGTTCAGACCATGTGCATTCCTTTTCTGAGATATTTTACTCAATGGAATTGCTTCTGAATACATATATCATGTTAGAGGTACTTCATGTGTTTTTATAGCCCACTGACAACTGATTGATGTATCTCATTTCCTTTCCTGTGCATCCGTTGACCCCAGCGACGGATTCTATATCTCAGCCATTTTGAATGATGCTGAAAAGAAGATGCAAATGCAGATCACTTTATGATACTAGTTTCATTCCTTTGTTCATAAAAATGAAGTCATTTCTGGAACACACAGATCTCCATTATTGAGTCCCAGAGCTGAATCTCCTCTTTAAAATGCTTGCATATCACCATAAAACCTTCATCTGGCGATGGATGGAGATATAGACAGAGACCCACATTGGAACACTGGACTGAGCTCCCAAGGTCCAAATGAGGAGCAGAAGGAGGGAGAACATGAGCAAGGAAGTCAGGAACGTGAGGGGTGCATGCACCCACCGAGACAGCGGTGCTCACCAAGGCCAGTTGGACTGGGACTGATGGAGCATGTGA